ACACATCAATCACCAAATTGGAAGGAGGAAGATTTTAAAACTGAATAATCCAATAATGGGCAATGAAATTAAAGCAGTAATAAAAAACCTACCAACTATAAAAAGCCTAGGTTTGGCTGGATTCACTGTTGAATTCTAAATAAGTTTAGGAAAGATCTAACACCAATATTCCTGAAGCACTTTAATGAAATTGAAATGGAAGGAATCCTCCCAAAGTCATTCCTAGAAGCTACCATTACCTTGATTCCAAAGTTAGACAAGGATCCAATCAAAAACCTGAACTAAAGGCCCAACTCTTTAATGAATATAGATGTAAAAATTCTCAACAAGACACTGTCAAACAGAATGCAACAAATCATCAAAAAGATAAAACATCATGCCTATGTAGGCTTCATCCCAGGGATATAAGGATGATTTAATATATGCAAATCAATAAATGTAATACATCACATAAGCAAAAGCAAGATTAAAAATCACACGATTTCAATGCATGCTGCAAAAGCCTGTGACAAAAATCCAACATCCATTCATGAAAAAATCTGAAGGAAATAGTTATAGAAGGACCTCATTTCAATTTGATAAAAGCCATTCACAACCAACCTACTACCAAAATCATATTAAATGGGGGAAAACCTGAAAGCTTTCACTCTAAAATCAGGAACAAAACAAGGGTGTCCATTATCACCACTCTTGTTCATCATAGTATTCAAAACAACAGAGACAATAATTAGGCAAGAAAAAGAAATAAAAGGGCTATGTATAGAAGAGGAAATCAAATTATTGTTATTTGCAGATGACAGGATACTCCACCCAGAAGATCCCCAAAATACCAAGAGATTCCTAGGATTAATAACCAAATTCGGTAATGTTTCAGGATACAAAATTAACACAAAAAAATCAATAACATTTCAGTAACTAGCAATGAACCCACTGAAAAAGAAATAAGGAAAAAAATATCATTCACAAGAGCACCAAGAAAAATTAAATATTGTACTTGGGAATTAACCTAAGGAAGTTACTCTACAATGAAGACTACAGTACTTGAAGAAGGAAATCACAGTGGACATCAGGAAATGGAAAAATATCCCCTGTTCCTAGACAGGGAAAAGCAACATACTCAAAATAGCCATATTTCCAAAATTGATTTACAGATTCAATGCAATTAAAAAAAAAAAAAGAGAATTCTTCACAGAGCTGGAGAAAACAATCCTAAAACTGATACAGAACCAGGAGAGAAATGGAACAGTGAAAGAAATCCTGGGTAAAAAGAACAAAGAATCCCTAGCTTGAAGTTATATTACAAAGCTTCAGTGATAAAAACAGCATGGTACTGGCACAAAGACATGAGAATATATGGAACAGAACAGAGGATACACAAATAACCCCAAGCACATTCAACTATCTGGTGTTTGAAAAAGGGAACAAAAACATTCACTGGAGGAAAGAGAGCCTCTTTAATAAATGGTGCTGGGAAAACTAAATATACGTAAAAGACTGAAGCGAGATGCATACATTTCACCATATAGTAAACTAAAATAAAAATAAATCTAAAATTTAAATGTTAAAACAGAAACACTTAACTTTTCAGAAGATAAAATAGGTAAAACTCTTGAAGTCATTGGGATAGGCAAGGACCTTCTGAACACAACCCCAGCTGCACAGGAAATAGTACCAAGAATCAACAAATGGGATCATATGAAATTAAAAAGCTTCTATACAGCAAAAGAAACAGCCAACAGAATGAAAAGACAACCTATAGAATGGGAAAATGTTTTTGCCAATTATTCCTCAGACAGAGTACTCATATCTAGATTATAGATACACTTCAAAAAATTTGATCCCCCCCAAATAAGACTCAACCAAAAAAATGGACAAGTGAAATAAACAGACACTTGACAGAAGTACAACTGGCCAATAAATATACAAGGAAATGCTAAACAATGCTGGCCATTAGAGAAATGGAAATTAAAACAACACTGAGATTCATCTTACTCCAGAATGGCCATCATCAAAAATCAAATAATAACAAATGCTGGTGAGCCTGTGAGGGAAAAAGGAATCCTTCTACATTGTTAGTGTGAATGTAAACTAGTACAACCGCTTTAGAAATCAGTATAGTGATCCCTCAAAAAATAAAAAAGAAATTCCATTTGACCCAGCTATTCTCCTTCTATGTATCTTCCTGAAAGAGGTAAAGATATCATTTTACAGTGATATATGCAAAATTATGTTTGTAACAGCAGAATTCATAATAGCTAAATCTTGGAAGCCACCTATATATCCATGACCAGATGATATAAATACCGTATTTATACACAACAGAGTATTACTCTGCCATAATGAAGGATAAACTTAAGTCATCTGTAGGAAAATGGATGCACCTTGAGACCATAATGTGAAGTGAAATAAATCAGACACACGGTTAAATTTCACAGTTGCTCTTATATGAGAACCTCAAAGTATAAATAAAAAGCAAAATACAAGATAGATGATAGGAAGGAGACCTTTCTCAAAAGGGAAAGGGATCAAGAGTTGGCAATGAAAAAAGAGTTGGGGATGAAAAAAGGAATTAAGATGTGTTGTGTACATGTTCCAACTTCTGGCAAGGAATGTAAACAACATGTACTGCAAACTACTGTTGCTCATGTACTAATAAAAATAAATAAAATTTTTTAAAAAGGCAAAAAAAGGCACCAGATGTAAAAAGTAATTTTTTAAAAAAGGCAACAGAAAAATTTCTAAATGGTAAATGTGAAGAAATCTTGGAGAATGAATCCAGAGGACCCTATGAGTGAATAAAGCATCATAAATTCAAGGCCAATATAAGGGAATATTTGCAAAGACATTAAAGATATATACATATAAAACTATGCAGTATTTTTTAGCAAGAAAATCATTTACTCAGGGGAGAAAGCTATGCAAAAAATTCATACTATTACTGTACACTATTTCGATATGAAGTGCATAGAAACTACATGTTTAAAATGTAAATAATGATTACTACTTTGGATGATGGAGGTAATTTAAAGATGCCAAATCTTTATTGATGCTAACAAAACACCCAAGAGATGAGAATCAAAAATAACTCAAGAGGGCCGGGCCAGAGATTTAGCTCAGTGGTTCCAGCGCCTGCCCTGCAAGTGCAAGGTCCCAAGTTTGATCCCTGGTACCAAAAAAAAAAAAAAAAAACCCTCAAGAAATTGTAGTGTAAAAATTTATTTTAAAACATGGAAATAAACACTTTTAGAAATAGCTAAAGTTATAAACATGATTGCTTCTGAGAGAGGAATAGGGGAGCATGGGAGCAAAAGCCTGAAGCATAGTTAATTTTATTTCAAAAAATACTCTAAAGTAAAATAACAACAATTCATATAGAATTAACCAAAGAAAAATAAATTAATTGGTATTTCTGTTTTAGCTTAACAGACCTCAAGCCCTTTGTATCCTATATATTCCAAGAAAAATGATTTATTGGCAGTTAATTCATTTCTGTTATGTAACATTTATTCTCTTAAATTTTTCCCCCATTCTAAGAATTGTTGCCACCCTGTACAAAGATATATTTCTCAAGGTTTATAAATTTCATCATTGATTTATAACTTTTCTCTCAATGTTGTAGTTCAAGGCCAACTTTATTTAGTTTTGAGGATGTGTTAAATTTAAATACTGCAGAGCGTGAGCCCTAATTAACTCACAAAAGATGTGGGGGGGTGGGGATGAGGGAGCTGATTTATATCCCTAGCCCTTTTTATTCTTTGAGACAGGGTCTTGCTAAGTTGTTAAGTTGCCCAGGCTGGCTTGGACTTGTGATCTTCCTGCCTCAGCCTTCCAGAGTGTTGAGATTTAGGTGTACACCACTACTCCTGGTTCCCACACAGGATTTTTAAAAAAGAAAAACTTCCTAATTAGGCCCTGATCTTCCATATAACAATTCATCCTTCATGTGGTTAGCAAGTGAATCAATTAAAAATATTGTTTCATTATCTTTTCTACATAAGAACCTGTGATGACTCCCTTCCTTCTATAGGACTGAGTTCACTCTATGGTATTTATGATGGATCCTAGGTTGCTCTACTTTCATCATCCCAGACCATAACACTCCAAAATGTGTTACTCTTCTGTTGGGCAAATCTTTCTGCCCTCTCTTCAGAACACACCTTTTTAGTGCCATCTCTTATAAATACTGTGTCCCTCAAACTTAAACAGCTTCATTTACTTCACACTATGGTCAAGTTCAAATTCCACTACTGTCTGGCAGTTACTACTTTAGCTTGCACTCAACTTTTGCATCCTGATGTTTGGAAATTGTGTTAGCTTACATTGTGGGTCATTTTTTTCATGCAATGCCAACCATAAAAAAGAAAAATAGGGGCCGGGGATCTAGCTCAGTGGTTTCGCCGCCTGCTGCGCAAGCGCAAGGACCCGAGTTTGATCCCCGGTACAAAAAAAAAAAAAAAAAAAAGAAAAGAAAAATAGGAACTACTATTTGAAAAACATTTTTAAAAATTCAGATAAATTTAAAACCTTGATTTAAACTCCTTCAAAATTAATCTTAAGAACTCTTTATCTATTGCAATTAGAAAATTAGAACAGAAGTCATTGATACTTTCCTCACTGAAAGCTACACTTTCTTTTCCCCAATGCATACAACCTGCCTAGCATGATGAGCTTTCTGTGAGTGAACTGCAGTTCAGCATGAGGGACAACTCCCAGCACATCCAGGAAAGTATAATAGACTGCAAGAGAATGAAAGGTGCTTATATAGTAACAAACTTGATTCCACTCAAATTTCTTTCTTTTAAAGGAAATTATTTTTAAACTGTGGTATTTTGCTATTCTTCCCAACAAATCACTTGCTAGTCATACTTCATAACTAGCTGTTTTTGTGTCACAATACTACAGGGGTGTCAGACTGATTACAAAAGCAATCCAACCAGGGTATTATTACACTGAAGACTAATATTTAAACAACAACAAAAAAACACAACACTTGTACTTACTTTAAGGATATCTTTACTTTGGGCTTAAAATAGGGTGCGTTCTGGTCTGCCAAAAAGACGATTAAATCATTTCCTAAAAGAAAGAAATATATGACATTAGAAAGATATTTCCTGGTAAAACATCTAGCATCCATACAGTTGTTACAAACTTTCTGGGAATTGTTCTCAACAAGAAAACTCTTATTCTGTTCCAGTTCATCTGCCCTCTCAAAGATGGTTCTACCTACCTAATGGAATGAGGCCCTAAAACATAAGCTTAATGTTTAAAGAAGTAGAGGAAAGATAACCCCAGAAAAACACAGCTGATCAAGACAAAAATCAACTAATGAATTCTGCCAAGAATCTGATTGGTGGGCTTAACAGAAGCACATAAAAACATGCTTTAAAAAGACTATACTATAGAAGGCACAGGTCTTGTGTTTAACCCACAGTATCCCTTCTCCCAAGAAAAATAAGCAAATAACAGAATTACATTGTACTATATATTAAGCCTCATGCTTTCCAACCCCAACCCTGCTGCCACTTTTAAGGCTGTTTAATTCACCAGACAGATGCATCACATCTAGGATGCAGGACCTCCCACTGTAGGAGTCTGACAAGGGACAAGGACATGATCAAACAATATAAGCACAAAAAGCTGATTCCTCTAAGAATGTGTTTTTAGGTTTCCTATGAAACAATTTCCCCAGTCCATGCTTTATTGGAGCTAAACTAACATTCACTGGGACAGACCTTTTAAATTGTTTAATGAAACAAACGTTGTCTTTGAAGTCAAGGAGAGGCTCTATCTAGTTCAGATGCTGTAGCCTCAAGTCTGGCAGAATGTACCCTTCTTCCAATATGGGGCATCATTAAAAGGTGGGAAAAATATTCAGAGGGCACAAGAAGTTCTAGGCTTCTCCCAAGGGCCTCAAAAAGTCTGGCTCAGGATCCTGTCCATCAAGTTCTGCATCACCTCTTCACTTCCTTCTTTCACGGTTTCGAGCTTTAAGCAACAGGTGCTTCTGTTTGTACTGAACAATGTTAAGATCGCCTCTAATGTCCATTGTCAGCATCAAGATTTACAAAAAGTTTTTAGTGATGGATAAAGCAAAGGCCTTCCAAGAAACACATGCTGGCAAAGAAAGATTTGAAACTAGGGTGTTGACCAAGGTGAGGAAGAGTCAGGTGTACAACAGACTAGGCAGCTGATGTGGGAAGAATTTGTAGTTTGAGAACATTTGCCCCCAAGAAGGCACTGGGTTTACCAGTGGTTCCTGCAAAATGCTTCTGGGAGCTGTGGAGTGTTCGGGTCTTAGGATGTCAAAGTACTGTGCTTCAAAGAAAACTGAGAAAAGGAAGGGCGGATGAATTAGACAAACGGGTAGGCAAGAAGTCTTGTATGAGAAGAAATTGCCAATTGCATTTTATGTTCATCAAATGAGAAGGATGATTTAAGTAAAGTAGAAGGAAATGTGAGGGCCTCGGGAGAGAAGGTAGAGGCCAACTACAAAGACTCCTGGGAATCAGGAAGGACTTTGGGAAGAAACAAAATTCATGAAGAGGGCGGTGCGTGGGTGAAAGCCGAAAGCTTTCCAGAAAATAAACAAAAACCCAGACAAACAAAAACTGGTGTGTTGGCATGGGTTTCTGGGTCAGGTTAAATGGTGGGGTAACTGGATCAGGACCCGCAGTTAGAATAGGATGCTGAAGATAAAGGTGGGGCACAGGGCTGGGAGAAAGGGGCTGGGCAATGCAAGAAGTCTAGCGATTCGGACAAGGGGCACGGGGAGCACCGGGAGGGGCACACGGACAGAGGGAAGGGCGGGCGAGCACTGACTTTCCCGCAGCACGAAGAGGTCCGTCTGCTTGTCGGAGTTGAGATCCCCGAAGGCCGCCAGGGTGCCCCAGGCCTCGGCCCCGAAGAGCTCAGCCGTGACGTTGTGCAGCGCCCGCGCCGGGACCGGCCCGGCTCCCAGCAGCGCGAGCCCCCACAGAAGTGGCCCCAGCAGCACCCAGGAGCTATGCAGCCGGCCCGCCGCCGCAGCCATGGCAGCCCCTAGGCCCTCCCGCGGCCCGTCGTCGTGCTTGACGGCAACCGCAAAGCACCCCACGGCCCTAGACAAGGAAAGCACGCAGCTTAGAGGCGCGTTCGAGCCGCTGCAGCGGATCCTCTCTCAAAGCCCCCTAGGGAAGACCCTCTCAGGACCTGGAGGGCTGGGAAATGGGGTGCCGCGCGCTCTCGCGCTCACTTCCGGCCGGCGCGCCTCCCGACAGTGTCGCGCGCGGGGGCGGGGCCGGGAGGTGGGTCTGACAGGCAGCCCGGGGGCGGGGCGGGGTCTGGCGGCAGCCCGAGAGCCATGGCTGGGGTGGCTGGGCTCATGGCCGATGTGACTTGGAAGGTCCTGGAGGGAAGAGTCCGAAGCAATCGCTCAGGTTTGGCTGGCTGGGGCGCTGTCTTCCCCACCCCCCGCACAGCGGGCGGTGCTTCCCCTCTAGCGCCCGGGGAGGGAGGCCGGTTGGGGTCGTGATCACGAACCGGTGTCTCCCGAGTTTCTCAGAAAGCAGGCGGCGGACAGGCCTTGCACCTGAACCACCCCCCCACCCCCCGCCTCCTTCAAAAACAAAGCAAAACAAAACAAAAATCGTTAAGTGGCTGTTCCAACTCTGTTGTGTGACTGTCCCCCAACCATAGAAAACACCAGCAATCCGACTTCACCTGGAGTCTCTCTACCCCAGAGATCAGGCAGTGACGGATTTCTGCGGAGGAAGTGTGGCCTCCCAAGTGTGTTCCTCCGCAAAAGTCCCTTCAAATGTAGATAGGAGGATCTGACCCCTCAGAGTCAGAGTCTGCCCTTTGTTTTTTTTTTTTCATGAATCCCTTCTACGTTCCCCGCTAGTTCTGAGCCTGAGCCAGGTATCTGTGTGGCACGTATTGAGGGAGGCAGGGCCTCAGAGCACAAAGTAAGTCAAGTTGAGCATAGTTAGGGCTCAGAACGAAGTGTGCCTCTTTTTTGTGGCAAAAGGCTCTGGGACCTGTAAGTTTCCAGTTGTGGTTTTCAAGCCCAAGTCACCCAGAGGTCAAGAGATGCCAACAGTTCAAGTGTCCTGAACTGACTTGTTGAAAGTGCGAAGTCATGACTTTTAAATTTAGCCCTTGAGGCTGATAGCTCCTCTGACAGCTGCGATTGAAACTTCCCTTATTTCTGGCTGGCTAGATATAATTTTGAGCAAAAAGTGTGGCAATAAACAGTTGAGATGGTGGCATGACAAGTCTTCAATTGAGGGCCTTTCTTTTTAAAGGATTGATGACTATATGTCATTACTGGATGATGTGAAAAGCATTACCTAAGAAAATTAACTCTATTTACATTTTTTCCCCCCTTCACTAATATGCCCCTGTTTTTCTTTTGGGCTTTTCTTATTCAGTTAAAATTTTTAGTTTTGTATTATTCTTCATCACTTTAAAAAAAATTGTAGAAAGCATCATTTCATAAACTATTTTGTTTTCAATTTTAAACTTGAAAGTTCTGTGTTTATTTATTTGGGGTTGTAGTAAAACTCCCACCTATAAAGTGTGACAGAAATTTTTAAAAAAGTAGTCTTTAGTACATTTTAGTCAATAGAGTTCCTTGAAGTAGTCATCTTTTTTTTTGTTGGCTACTAACAATGTGGGTATCTAAGCTATGAAAAATATTATAGGATTCATTATGTCTGGACAAAGAGAATAACCTGAGTTTTCTTACAGGGAACTGAACACTGCAATGTATTTTTACAGCATTCTTCTTTTAATAAGTACATAGAGTTTTTTGTCTTCTCCAATCTTTATTTTGTTTTCTCTTAAACACGTCATAATAGTAAGCTTTGAAAACTTCTTTTCTTAACTGAAAAAAAATTAAAATTTTATTTAATTGTTCTTAAACTGTAGTTGCTTAAATTGAGTTTCATGTTCAAAGTAGTTGTATGGATAGCATCAAGATTGGATGTTCCTATGTGTTTATATCACAGAAGTAAAGAGATACGAGTTGAAGCGAGTCCATCAAATTTATACTTTTTTGAGGTTTCAGAATCTTAACTCTATGAGGTATAGATGATAAGGGTTCTTGAATGAAACACTTATTTTTCTTGTCATTAAAAACATTTAACTTGATTCTGTTTGTGACTTTAGAAGAATAAAACAGAGCTTTGAATCTTGAACTAACCTACCTTTGGTATAGATTCCTTTGCAGAGTTCTAAAGAATGCTACTCTGATGTTTAATAAATAGATACTGTATTTCCTACCTCATCTATATGAGCAAATGTAATTTATCAAACAAAGGAAATAAGATTTTCAAATCATATGGAAAAATAAAATTACATAATGATCATCAATTATTGTCCTTTGTTGCATACTGCATCATGTTAATAACTCCTCACACTGCTTTCATTTAATCTAATGTTGATTGCTTCTAACCTTCACTAAACAGTTTTAAGATTGCTGTAGTTTAGCCTGGGACGCTTATGATTAGAGTCAACAATTTGAAATGGCCAACTCACCAGATGCAGTCGTCTCCTCTTCACCTGCTTTCTTAAGGTCTGGTAAGTGTGTGGACCCCAAAAGGGTAACTTGGTAATTTTAAATACCTTTGTTTCTGAAAGCTAATGATATCATATGGAATTATTTATGACCATATGATGTTATTATTTTATGCCTCTTTGTTGTGCCCAAGCCTGAGCATTATTTCAGCTAGTGTTAGGCTCAGGATTACATTGTATTTTGAATGTAGCCCTATCCTGCTTTGCCTCTAGGAGGATAGGCAGTCAGAGAGTGGAGGCTCTGCGTTGACCCTTGCAAGCTGTGTGACTGGGGCAGTTCCTTAATGCTGGGGAGCCTCATTTGTCAAATGGATGCATAGTGTAGCTTCTTAAATGATTTTTGTCTTCTCACATGATGGAAGCAACTCATAAATTGGAAATTTTGGGTCAATATCCCACTTAACTATTGTATCAACTCCCTATGAAATAGGTATTGTTGTTTCTTAGGCATTTTCATAGACAAGAAGAGATTTGTCCTCTTTCCTGTTCTGTTTCAAAAGTCTGTGCTTTGCACTGCATCCCATGGCTTCTTGGTGTAAGGAATGGAGATGCTTGTGCAGTGGCTCTTAGACTGTTGTGCAACATACCCCTGTGAGAGTTGGGTGGAACCTGTGGAATCAGCTCTTCAGAGAAATGAGCAGCATTTTGAAAACAATTTTGAGATAATTTTTGGCCCCAGAATGACCATATATGGATTCCTGTTAGGAACCCAAGTCTTTGGAAGTATTCATTTTACATTTCAGAAGAAAAATCAGGTTAAGTGACTGCATGACTGACATGTAGATTGAAGGGCCCTTTTCTGTAGGCCATTAAAAGTGTAATATGTTAGAATACTCTGGGAGGAGTTTTTCCACAAGAGGCTGCTTTGTCTTTATGGTTCTTAAGTAGAATATTCAATAATGAAGCCTCAGTACTCAAAAACAGGTAAATGTGAGTTGAACTCCACAAACTGGAACTTATTTGTCTTCACAATAGCCATTCAGAATGGTTCCCCCATTCAATTCTGTTTATATGTCAAGTCCTAGTTTTGGAAGATAGAGGAGAAAAATTCAGCTTGAGCCTGAATCAATCAAACATGAGAAATCAAAGCTTATACTTAAGGAACAAAAATGATCCTTGTATTTAGTTATTATCTACTAACTGACAAAATATTTTAATAATATCAATTTATTTTTAATTTTGTTTTCAACTAAAAAAAGATGACATATTTCTCTGCTGTGTTTTTATTATAGATAGCTAAGTTAGATAGAAATTAATATATAATCAGAAAGAGACTTGGCTCTCAAGGAAGTCAGCAGAAAAATAAAGACATCAGAATTGTGGCTGGAGATGCATCTGTTGAAGGCCAGGCCTCAGAATAAAGATGCAACGACCAAACCTACATGCCTCCCTAAGGGATAAGCAGTAACTTGGAATTATGCTATACTTGGTATCACCTGGTCCAATAAAGTCCAGATAGACAACAGTCACCCCAATGAGTGACCAGAGCGTCTGGACCTATCCCTACCCAAAATACCTTTGTTCTTTCTATGCACCCTTGCTACATGACCTGCTTTTGGATCAATATTAGCTAACTGGCTGTACTTGTAATCTTATTTTTTGATTATGGTTTGCCCACATTGTACTTACCTTGTGATTTTGTACCTACCTTGTGATTTTGCTCTATAAAACATTCTTAGAGAAGTGATCTTGGTGGCAGCCCACTTTTGGGTCCCCTCCTGTCTCTCAGGAGCTATCTCTCAATAAATTTTTCCTGTTAACTTCCATTGTTCCTTAGAATTCATTCTTCGATTTCAGGTGACACGAACTTGGAATATTTGACATCTAGCAGGTTGAGAGTTATATTTTCCCCTATATCATTTTCATTTTAAGCACCAGGCTCTTATTTTCTATTTTGGCTTTCCTATTAGGAGTTACGGTATGTTTGTAGCACTAGCCATCATTCAGTAGTAAGGGGGAAATAGAATGCTAAAAAATAGGTTTTTATGCACCGATAGTCATGAAAATTTCAAATCTAAAGAATTATGCTTCAACATTATATAGAATGTTTGAAGGCAATATAAAGCTTATAAATATATAAGCTTTTCCACTGTCATCTTATTAAATTAAAATCAAATATACCAAGAAACGAAACAGAAAAATACCAAATTGCAGTGTTATGATCCATTTAAAAGATTGATTCTTTATAAATCACTTATATATTTTTGGAGGGATTCCTCTATCCAAAACTTAGAGTGTCACTGGTCTGGGTCTGAGGGTCCTCGAGGCTGAAATAAGGAACTTAACTCACCTGTTTAAAATAAGTATGTAGATTTGTTGACTCCTGTCAGGGAAAAAATTTTCAGTAAAAGAAGTATAAGAAGGATTTATCAGAGGTAGATATAGGACACACTCAAGACTGGAGTGCAGGTGCTCAAAGAAATGAAGCATGTTACAAGCCAGAGTAGGGCACATTTAAAGACTGTCTTCAAGATGAGTGATCTAGGATGTATATTCCTACCATCTGCCAGATTACAGTACAGGCCATCTATATGGATTTTAAGAGGAGATAGGGGTTTGAAGTTAAGATTTGGTGTCTCCAATGCAGCTGCGTTTTGGACTGGAAGAAAGGGCAAAGGTGAAAAGGGTAGGGGACAGTCACTTGCCAGGATAGCCTCCAGTAGCAGGAAAAGAGCTTGTCTTGAAGCTGCAGTTTTTCTTAAAAGTACAGTTTTAAAATCTCAATTTCCTTGTTTCCTTTCTATCTAGTTTTATTTTTTCTACTCTACCTCATTTCCCCTCTCTCCCTCAAGACTTTGGTCTCTTATTCTTAAGGGGTTGCAGAAGGCCAATGGTCCCTCTTCAGTAACTGCTTCAGGCTGAGGAGGGGCCTTGATCTTGCCTAGTCAGCAACTGAAAGTCTTGTCCTGAGTTGTGTAAAGGAGATGTAGGAATATCAGGTTCCATCTTGTGAACAACCATCATCGTTTGATAGTCAGAAAAAGAAGGCAAGGACATACAAGACATTAGTCTGCAACAACAATGAATCATGCAACGGACAAGAATATCAATGCTCAGTATCATAGCAAGAAAAATGAAAACTTTTTTCCACCAGGTTGCTCTGGGGAACCAGCCAGTCATGAAAGCTCATGGCAGGGTCTGACACTGCACTGAGTTGTGAACATAGATCACACAGTGCAGATGACACATTTGCAGAGTTGTCAGGAATGTACACACAATGTTCTGCTGCTGATAATGGCACACATTCTCCCTTGTGCTGCTGTTAGAAAATGCAGGGCCATTTGATTTTGTAAAATGGCTTTTTCATCAAGAGGATAAAGAAATACTTAAAACTTTTATCTGCTAAAATAATACTTCAAGTAGTTTGCATGTGTAATTAATACTAATTCTGAAATACTACATTTATGCTACAAATGATTTGCTTTCCCTTATAGTTCCTTGGATAGTATCATTATGAGAGTATTTATTGCATGATTTCATTTAATAACCATTTTAGAGCATATCCTGAGTTCATAGCTGAGCTGTTCATTGGTATTTTTTTACCTAGAAACTGCTCAATATTGCCAAAAATTAAAGCATGTGTCTTGATTTTGGAAAATTAGTTTCCACCATACCTGATTGTTTTATGTATTTTAACCCTCCTTTATCCTTCTGGGTATGCATCAACTTTCTATTTTTTTCTTTGTTTCTACTCTATCAAATTTAGTATGAGTCCTGCATTTTTATTTCTTTGTGCATGCTTAAGTTGTGCTCTGACTACTAATGTGTCAGTTTGTGCTGTGGTTTAAAGTAATTTGTTTTGACTGCCTAAATTAAAAGAGAGATCTTGATATCCAGGTTTTCTTTAAAGAACCTTAGGGGAAAAAAATAAAGTACCTTGGAGTAAAATGTGCAAAACATGAATTTATAAAAAATTCAACAACCAAAAGAAAATAAATAATATTACAGAAGGAATGTAGTATATAATACCTCAGATTGCTTCCATTTTTCTCATATGGCTGCTGTAGTATACAGTTTATCAGATTAACAGAGTTCACTGACTAAAGCAGTCACCCTGTTATACTATTCAATTGTTTGGAATGATTATACCATATTTTGATGAGAAAAGAAACGACTTAGTACTTTTGCTTTTGTTCTTAAAAGATAACACATTTAAGAAATTGTTCCTTTTGAAAGAAGGGAAAGGAAAAATGATGAGAAATGGAAAAAATGGAAATAAAGTCTTTGTACATAGGGAAGGGAGGGCTAGGAATGGGGAAAAAATAAGAACCAAGATGCATTATGTAAAGGTAAATTCCCAATGAGAAATGTAATTGTGTTGTGTTCCTAAAATGTACCAATAAAAGAATTTAATAAAAAAAAAAAGAAATTGTTCCTTTTAAAATGAATCATCACCTTTCCTCTGTTTTGTCTTCCTAAGTTTATCAGCCAGCATCTTATAAGTGAGTTTCAACCTGTTACTTGAGTTTTTTCTGTACTTATTTTTTATAGGTTTTTGGATAATTTTCGTGTATTAATGTGATTGATATCAGTTCCTGGTAAAATTTTGTTATATGTTCTGCGCAAACTCAGTTTTTTACTTTTTAGATTTGATACTGTTTTGTAAAGGCATTTATGCAACCTATGTTTTAAGACAAATTTAATATCAGCTAACCAGAAAGATTCTTGTGGAAAACCATATGTTTGAGGTTCCTGGACACTTCTGAGTCATGGTCCTCTGTAAGAGCCTAATGAAAGAGTAGCCAGGTATGGTGGTCCACACCTCTAATCCTAGTACTCTGGGAGGCGGAGGCTGGAGGATTAGAAGTTTGAGACCAGCCTAGGTAACTTGTCAAGACCATTTCAAACAATTGAACAAACAAAAAGAAAGGGTTGGGTGTGTAGCTCAGTGTGAAGGCCCTTGCTTGAATTTCCCATTACTCCCCCTGCCCCCGAGTATACAGTTTGTATTTACCGATACTCAGAATCTAATCCTGGTTCTGTTGTTTACTATGTGTTTGATT